AACAATTGCATTATTTTTAAAATACAATTTAATTAAATATGATTTTTAATATAATTAAACAACAATTATATTACAGTATAAAAGTGTGGGCAAAATGTTTTGGTAAAAAGTTTATACTTTATGTACACTAGTATTGAATGGTATGCTTTGTATGGCTATATAGACGTAGTTTTAGTGCTTTTATATATGAATAATATATTGTATTAAACCTTAAATTATAGCATAAATAGTGTTATTATAAAAAGCACTAAAACTTCGATACGTTTTGAATGCCTTTTCGGCGCAAATATTATGTAATTTTTGCTTTTGTTTACGTTTTATAACAATTCATTCAAACAATCACTTCATTTGATCCCAAGATATTACACAAATGATGGCATCACTCGAGACAAGAGATGACACCGAAGAACAGGTATTGAGTGACAAATTATCGACTGTTTATTGAACTTTGTTTTTGTCTCACATTTTAGCCACAAATCTATGCGAAGAACTCTTTCGATCGTTTTGGTGATGACATGTGTGCACTCATACTGTCTTTCTCTCCACAGAAACACAGATACCGTTACGAATGTGTGTCCAAACAGTTCCAGAGGACAGTCTTCGTGAGTGTTGTGAACGTCATTATCAGCGATGGATGTTTGACGCAAATACCGGAGAGATATGTCCCGCAAATGTTGGCCACAATCACCACAAAGTGTCCAAATATTGAGATCATTGACTGCCGAAGAATAGACACATTCAGACGTCACGTCCCGACAATATTGACCACATTTCGGGACAATTGCCATAATTTGCGGCACATTTACTGCAGTCTATTGGAGGGGAACAACAAATGGCTGTCGGAATACCAATCGTTGGTCACTCGAATCGGTTCCATCGACAGGACGTATAGCAGCCCTTATGTCCAGCGCTGCCAACGATTGACCAAAATTGTGATCAAATCATTGCGCGACGGCTTCTCTCCGAAGAGACCAATACTGACCACGAGATTAGAGAAGTTGTCGTTCCGTTCGTACGACGGGATCAGTGGCGGTGATAATCAACTCTTGGCCGCCGTTGTGGCCAACAATCAGTCGCTGACACGTCTGTCAGTGCACGCCATGAAACCCGAAACTGTGGAGATTATGGCAGAGTTTGCGGATATAGTGTCACAATATTTGCCACAATTGCGGCGATTGTCTCTCTATTTCGATGCGACAGACATTAACTACTCATTGGACGCCTCTTTGCGGACAATTGGCGTGAAGTGTAAACAATTGAAAATACTGTCACTCGGATTGCGTTCAGGTTATGGCCAAAACGCTGTCCAGACGTTCAATTCATTGCAATATTTTTCACGATTAAAGCGATTGTCATTAAAAGTCTATGCGATGGGCAATGACTTCGAGTCCTATAAACAGCAATTTGTGGATCCGTTGAGACATTGCCACCGATTAACGCATTTAAGTCTTGAATTGTCACAAATGAGTGGAAAATATTTTGTTAATTGTGATAAACAGTGGCCACGACTTCAATACCTGTTTATTCGTTATTACAAACACAATAACACGATTGACAACGAGTTTGTGTATCACATCTCAAGACTACCGGCGCTGCAAACGCTTGTCATTCAATGCAATCAAGACATTGATTTCTCGGACAATGATTTGAATGCTGTGTTGTCTTCGAGTCCTAAACTCAAGAACATTGAAATCCGTGTAAACAATGAGAAGAAATTTTATTCAAAATCAAAATGCAATCAATAAGTGATTTAAATTGAATTTATTAAATATTTTTTGATACTTTTAATGTCTTTCTATAGTTTGTTCTGATTTTTATTTAATGCTATTTTAGAAATAATGTTTTATTTTGCATTCTTTTCATACATTACTTGTATTTTATTACAGTTATAATAATTAATGTTTCGTTACTTTAAGTTACAGGCGTCTAAAGTAACATTCTAATACTGATAGCCTTGAAAATGCCAAAACTTGCATAGAGTAATGACTCAAGTCAATAAAATTAGTATTGATACATAGTCATTACTCTATGCAAGTTTCGGCATTTTCAAGGCTATCAGTATTAGAATGTTACTTTAGACGCCTTTACTTTAAGTAAACCATTGTTTTTACATAAATTAAAAGTTCATTAACTCTTTATTACATAATTACAATTTATGCCAATATATGGCCTAACAGTTGACATCAGGTTTAAACTTAAAACTTTAAAGTATGTTATCTTAGATAAGATCTATCAGTAGATAATCTATGCATAGATTGTATGCCAGACAACGAGTATTATATAATATGCCGTAATATTAGGCCTTTTATACAGTATAAAGTCATATAGTATTGTCATTGAGAGTAATCAATACAAATGCACTCAATGTTAGCAACAAATCAATACTGTATTCAATGTTACGTAATATTTATTCATTTGCGTAAATATTACGCAATTTTTGTGCCATTTGTTTGCATTGACTGTCATTACAAACAATACAATTCATTCATATAATCACTTCGTTTGATCCCAAGAGAGGACACAATTGATGGCATCACTCGACACCACAGATGACGGCAATGAAGACAATTACACACAACAGGTATTTGACAATAAATTGACTGTTTATTGAGTTTTCATTATTTTGTTTCACATTTTAGACACAGATCTATGCGAAGGACTCTTTGGATCGTTTCGGTGATGACTTATTTGGACTTCTATTGTCTTATCTCTCACTCGAAGACCGATTCCGATGCGAATGTGTATCCAAACAGTTTCAAAGGACAGTCTTCGAGAGTGCTGTCGACATCAATATCAATGACAGACTTATGAGACAAATACGAAGAACAACAATAACCCAAACAATAGCAACAATTTCCACAAAGTGTCCAAACATTGAGACCATTGACTGCCGAGGAATAAACAAATCATATGATAAAGATATACCCGAAGTGTTGAACTCATTTCACGACAATTGCCGACATTTACAAGAAATTTACTACAATTTGCGGCAGAATTACTATCAATGGATCCCAAAGTTGGGATCACTTGTCACCAGAATTGGCAGTATTTCTGCCAAACATTCACTCATTCATTGCCACCGATTGTCTCACTTAGCGGTGGATTCAATACGAAAAGTCTTTGACAACTATTCCGGAGAACTAATGGCAAAGAATTTGTTGGGATTTGAGTTTAGATTTAGTGATAAACACATTAGAGACCAATTGTTGTGGACATTAGTGGCCGACAATCAGTCGCTGCAAAGTGTGGCCGTAAATGAGATCAAATTCAAGACTCAGGACACTATCACTGAACTAATCCAACAATTGTCACGATTACCACAATTGCGTGAATTGACTCTTGAGTTCCGCGCGTTTCCAAATCAGGACTTATTGAGTGACTCTTTGCGGACAATTGGCATGATTTGCAAGCAATTGAAACGATTGTCACTCCGATTGAACCCTGAGGTCACAGAAATCAATGTCCAGACATGGGATCCGTTGAAAGTGTTTCGACGACTGAAACGATTGAAATTAATATTCACTTCACAATTGATGTCTCTCTGGATTCCCGGCCGAAAATTAACGCATTTATGGATCAAATGCTCGGAAATGAAC